CGTGACGTGGATGTTCATCAGGTAGTACACGGTGCGGCTCTGCACGTGGCCCTGCACGCGGTTGGCCAGGTAGCGCAGCCCCACGTCGAAGATCTTGATGTAGGACAGGGCACTGGGGGAATTCATAAAATCAGGGAATTGTATAAAAAAAAGTTCATAAATTCAGTGAGGGAGAATTCATTAAATCAGTGAGAATTGATAAAATCAGTGAGGGAGAATTAATAAAATCAGTGCAGGTGAATTAATAAAATCAGTGAGGGGGAATTCATAAATTCAGTGAAGGGGAATTCATAAAATCCATGAGGGGGAATGCGTAAAATAATCAGTGAGGGAGAGTTCATAAAATCAGGGAATTACATTAAAAAACCCTAATAAATTCAGTGAGGGAGAATTCATGAAATCAGTGAGGGGGAATTAATAAAATCAGTGAGGGGGAATTTATAAAATCAGTGAGAGGGAATTCATAAAATCAGGGAATTGTATAAAACAAGTTCATAAATTCAGTGAGGGAGAATTCATGAAATCAGTGGGAGAATTCATAAATTCAGGGAGTTATTTAAAAAAAATCATAAAATCAGTGAGGGGGAATTCATAAAATCAGGGGGAATTCATAAATCAATGAGGGACAATTTATAAAATCAGTGAGAGGGAATTCATAAAATCATCACTGAGGGAGAATTCATAAATTCAGTGAAGGGGAATTCATAAAATCAGTGAGAATTGATAAAATCAGTGAGGGAGAATTAATAAAATCAGTGCAGGTGAATTAATAAAATCAGTGAGGGGAAAATTATAAATTCAGTGAGGGAGAATTTATAAAATCAGCAAGGGCAAATTCATAAAATCAGTGAGAATTGATAAAATCAGTGAGGGAGAATTCATAAATTCAGGAAGCAAGAATTCATAAATTCAATGAGAGGGAATTCGTAAAATAATCAGTGAGGGGGAATTCATAAAATCAGGGAATTATATAAAAAAAAGTTCATAAATTCAGTGAGGGAGAATTCATGAAATCAGTGAGGGAATTCATAAATTCAGGGAGTTATTTTAAAAAATCATAAAATCAGTGAGGGGGAATTCATAAAATCATCACTGAGGGAGAATTCATAAAATCCATGAGGGGGAATTCATAAAATCATCAGTGAGGGGGAATTCATAAATTCAGTGAGGGGGATTTATAAATTCAGTGAGGGGGAATTCATAAAATCCATGAGGGGGAATTCGTAAAATAATCAGTGAGGGGGAGTTCATAAAATCAGGGAATTATATTAAAAAAAGTTCATAAATTCAGTGAGGGAGAATTAATGAAATCAGTGGGGGGGAATTCATAAAATCAGGGAATTATTAAAAAAAACAATCAATAAAAATTAATAAATAAAAAATAAAAATACAAAAATAAAAATAAAAATAAAAATAAAATATAAAAATAAAAATAAAAATAAATTTTTAAAAATCAAAATCAAAAATTAAAATAAATCAAAATTAAACTATAATAAATAAATAAGTAAATAGAATTAATAAACAAATAGAATTAAAATATTAAAAATAAAAAATAAAAATTAAAGAATGAATAAAAAATGAAATTTAAAAAAATTAAAATAAATAAAATAAATAAAAAATTAAATAGAAATAAATACCATAAATAAAATCAAAATAAACAAAATCAAAATGTATAAAAATCAAAACAAAACTAAAACAAATAAATAATTAAAAATAAAATCAAAAATAAAAATATAAAATAAAAAATCCAAAAAAATAAAAAAACTTAAAATATTTTTTAAATTAAATAAATAAAATAAAAAAACCAACAAAAATCAAAATAAAACTGAAATCAACAAATAAAAATAAAAATAAAAATAAAAATAAACATATAATAAAATGTTTTGGGGGTGTTTTGGGTGTTTTAGGTGTTTTTGGGGTGGTTTTGGTGTGGTTTTGGGGTGGTTTTGGGATGTTTCTGGGGTGTTTGTTTTTGGGGTGTTTTTGGGATGGTTTTTGGGGTGTTTTGGGTATTTTTGGGGTGGTTTTGGCATGGTTTGGGATTGGTTTTGGGGTGTTTGTTTTGGGGGTGATTTTGGGATGGTTTTTTGGGGTATTTTTGGAGTGGTTTTGGGATGTTTCTGGGGTGTTTGTTTTGGGGTGTTTTTGGGATGGTTTTTTTGGGGTGTTTTT